CGGAAAATCATTGGTTACTTTATAGGAAGTCATTGGATATTACGGAATGTTAAGTCTATGGCGGCATTTGAAAGTCACTGCTTGCTTTGTGAGACAATGGTTGCTATGGGAAGTCACAGCTTGCTATGGAAGTCAGTGGTTGCTATGATAAGTCATTGGTTACTATTGAAGTCAGTGCTAAGAAATGTCACTGGTTGCTATGGAAATCAATGGTTGCTAGGGAAAATCAATGGTTGCTACGGAAGTCAATAGCTGCTGAGGAAAATGAGGGACTTTAGTGAATAACCTCCCCTGAGTACTCCCTATAAAAAGGTAGGTCCTAAGCTATTGGATTACTCTGACTTTATCGCCTATTTCTTTGTAGCAAACTAAATTAATTAGGGCTAATTATGATCATTTGTAATATTCAGATTAAATTTTGCGATAAGATGTAGAATCTGTTGACATATATGAAACATTTATTTCTTAAGGTTTACATATTTGTTGATGCATGTGGAAATAATTGATTAAGACATATAAACCTGTCTTACATAAAACTCAACCATAAAATCAAAGGATTCCAAATATTTGGACCAACTTACATTTTGGTTACCCTCGGTTTTTATCAAGGGAAGATAGTCCACTAAAGTCCCTCATTAGTGGTTACAATCAAAGTCACTGTTTTCTATGGAAAGTCAATGATTCCTATGGAAAGACAATCATGGTTCTTATGGAAAGTCAATGGTTGCTACGGAAAATCATTGGTTGCTATAAGAAGTCACTTGATATCACGGAAAGTCAAGTATATGGCGTTAATTGAAAGTCACTGCCTGCTATGTGAGACACTGGTTGCTATGGGAAGTCACTGCTTGCTATGGATGTCAGTGGTTGCTATGATAAGTCATTGGTTGCTAATGAAGTCAATGGTTGCTAGGGAAAATTGGTTGCTATTGAAGTCAATAGTTGCTAAGGAAAATCAGTGGTTGCTATGAATCACTGTTTGCTGTGGAAAGTCAATGGTTGCTATGTAAGACACTGGTTGCTATGGGAAGTAGAGCTGATGGATGACCAATCAAATTCAAGTAGAAGATATATATCAAATACAGATTTTGATAAAATAAATGCGTTTTGGACCTGATTTAGTGGTAAATATCCAGATCGTTCGCAAATTTCGTCAAATTTACAATTTATCGTCATTTTAACAAAAAGTATCCATTTTGCAGAAAAAAACCAATACTATCTTAAAACCAGACATATTTAGTTAATTTGGAAAGATCGATTAAGTTTTGATGGAGAAATAAACTGAAACATTACCATGGGTGAACTCGACGTAAACTTTTCTACTTTCGCTTTCGATGTTTTAAAACAGTGGTTTTAAGACATATGAACGAAGAGTTCCAATTTTCTGTTCTAACCAACAGAAAAATGACATACCCACATTATTCAGATTGCCATGAACGTAAAATATTTAAGTACATCCATGTGAATTTTTTAAAGAGCAATAGGGAAGTTCTATACAAAATATTACCTATTTTATCTTTTTTTACCCACAATGTAATACACTACCTTTGAAACGTGTTAAAAGAGGAATAATTACCAGATATTTATATAAAACGTACAATTTGGTGTATTCTGTTTGAAATCTTAAATAAGTCAAGAAAATTTAGTTGAAATTTATCAACAATATCTACATTTTAGATTCCTCAATCTTCCGAGCTGTACAAAATAATGTAGAGAACTTGTTTTATTTCGAATCGAGATTTTATATCATATTTACATTGGTTTGTTCCTTTAGATCAATCAATTCTTTCTTATATCTTCTATTTCACTCTTTATTCCTGACTCCCGACATCCACTGGGAAGTCGAGGATCGGGTGTGCTCCTGACACGGCCTGTGGTGCTTGTCATCACAGGAAGACCTTATTGGAGCTTCTGTGCCCAAGATCGTGCTCTGGTTGAGTTCAGGTCCATGATAGAGTAGGCAGAGGCCACCAGTTCACTCTAATCTGAAGTCTTTTCTATTAAATACATGGTAAATTACATACAATTGACTTACATAATAAAACACTAGAAATAGTTGAGCTTTCATTACCTATCTTCTTAAATTAAAGGGAAGAAAATGCAACAATATATGTCAAGTGAAGCTATCTTTGTTATCTCCCCTCATCTGTCAATGCACTTTATTTCAAGTATATCTGGAATTTCTTTTTTATTCCCTTTTTTTTGTTGTTACTGATCACTAGAATTCTTCATTTATACCTTGAAAATGATTCGCATGTTTACTTAAATAGTATATTCATCAGCTAAAATATTTTTCATGCACCATGATATTGTGTTATATGTTTTAAAAATGCTGAAATGACTACTGAAATGTCAATTTAATACTACGCATTATTTACTATTATCATTATTATTATTATAATTATTATTATTATTATTATTATTATTATTATTATTATTATTATTATTATTATTATTATTATTATTATTATTTATTATAATTATTATTACTTTTACTATTATTATTATTATTATATTATTATTATTATTATTATTATTATTATTATTATTATTATTATTATTATTATTATTTCTTCAATTTTAATTTCCGTTTTTCTTTAACACTAAACCTAACAATCTTTATTACATATTCACTATAATTTTCTTTGTCCATCCATTGACAACTTTTGTTTCAATCGGATCGCATTTGTAAAATAAAAAAAAAATACAATTCGTACAAAGAATTGAAATTGAAACACTTTTCTTAATGTAAGATCGGCTTAGAATAAGTCATAACAATAACAATACCCATAACAAATATTTTGTATAATTACTTTGTTTGTTGTATGTTCTTTTCCCAGTTATGTATGGGACCTTCCCACTGGTTTTAATCTGTAATTTGCACTCGTTATTGCAGAATTTAATATTTTGTTATCTGTGTCTCCCAAATAAAGAGTATGTTCTGTTTGATAATAAAACTACTCACAAAAATGTCATAAAAAAGAGATAAAATTTCACCACAGACTTGTGCATTTATATGGAACAAGATGATTAATACATGTCTTGTCCGAATAAAAACTTTTTTTTTAATTTTTTTTGCTATGTTTATGATATTGTAATTTTAAACCGTTGCAACGTTTTATCTTGTAAATATTGAATATTTAAGCTCACTTCAAACTTGGTATACATGTTTATTGTCATAGAAAGGACACCATTTCAAAAGGGCACATAATCCTGAAATTATTTTTTGCAAAGTTGTGCCCCTTTTTCTATGTTGCTCAGCTTTGAAAAAAGTACAGCGGACTGTCCATGAACAGGTCTTGTTCTTAACGTTAGTACAATAAGATGATTTACACAGGAACAAAGTTAGAAATGTCAAATTTTGTCATAGACATTTACAATATTGAAGCATATACCTTAAATCATCATAAAAAGAACTGAAATGTGATTTATAAATAAAAGTGACTACCATTTATTATCAGTTAGCAACATATTTTTTCTTGTAAAATACACTTCAAATATGAATTTTAACTTTAAGTAAACTGCCTTGTAACCTGTCAATTATAAAGTAAATTTCTCTTTATACATGTAATAATAAGTGTTCCTGTTATAAAAGACGGTCCTTCTAGAAACATATTGCTTGTTTTACCGGTATATTAATTTTTTTTTAATGTAAGTAAATTTTTAATTAATGATATAAATACACATTTTAGGCCTATTATGCCTCAGAAAGGCTATCATTTCTATTCTTGGTATGTTACAGTTTTCAAATAAATTCTTTTTATTTGATATAACTTTTTATCTTTTAGTCTTTGACAGCAGTTTGGCAAGAGTTCAAAAATCACATGTCATAAAAATAGGGTAAAGAAGACTAAGTTTGACACCTTGAGAATTTATCCTAAATATCACAATCAGGAAATGAGAAGTGAGTTTTTTTTTTAATCTGCACTCGCAGCTCTAAAGGACAAATTACTGTACGTCTAGAAAAGTCTCTGAAAGACACAGATGCCTCTGCTATATATACTCGTATTAGGATACCAAATATTATTAATCAATAGATAGAGCGTTGGACTATGAATTGGGCGACCCGGGATCGATTCCCGGACGGCGCATGTCACTTTCGCTGTGTTGTATCATTAAATCCTTACTACGGTTATTCGCAATGTACCTCTGCTCTGGTACAGAAATTTCAGTTCCTTGCGAAAGTGAAGGCAACTAGTACTGGTAAACTGCTTGACAACATGCTTAGGATCGATGCGGTGATTCGGAGTGAAAACTGCCAACACCACCACCACCTATTAATCAAGATGGTAAGACAGGACAGCATAGATGGAATTTCATAAACTTTTTTGCAATAAAAGACCTTTTAGATTAACAGGACAGATCACTTCTGATAAAAGTTTCTTAATATTCCCAAGGCCTCAATTTAAGAGTGACAGAGCACAAACGAATTTCTCAGTTTAGTCTGTACTTGAGCATAAAACTGGAAAAATAAAAGTTGAATAGTAACAAAATAAAAGTTACAATTATTTTTTAATTTATCTTTTGACATTAATGGTTATTTACAAGTCAAGGCCGTATATATGCATTATTCAGTATGTCATTAGTGTTGATTTTGTATGAATCATACAGAATAAGAACAAAATTCAATAATTTGACCTGGTCAGTCTTAATTTAATGAAGTGAATTTATTCTATAATGCAATTCAGCTTAATAGTTTTTTTTGTTTATTATTGAAGATTTAATAATTTTCAAACCGTATTTTGTAACATTGCAGTTACTCCCCATGGTGTACCTCAAACCTTGTTCCGTTCCGTTCCGTAAAATACCAATGGACCTTTCCAGTGTTTACAGATATATGTAAATTACCTAACTTGTTATCCAGCAGGTCAACCAGTGACTATGTATTATCTCAGTGTAGCATCTGGTTTACACAAAAGAAGACATGGTTAAGTTTGTGTGATACTGTTTGTGAGCAGTTGACCTAGCAATGAATGGAAAAGGTGTGGCTAAATGTTCCGCTACGAAAAACCAGAATGGTCCATAGATATTAGGCACTGCTATATCTTCAATTATCTAGATACAACATTTGTGCCAAAAATAAACGTTTACCTTTTGGATTTTGAAATGTAATCATTTCATTCTAAACAGTTTATATATATAAACTCGTAAATATTTCTTAGATATTTAAAAAAAAATAATGGAAAACCATGATCTGCCCAGACAAGAAGAAGTAAAAAAGTACAAAAATTGAAGAAAACAAATTGCATTCAATATTCCCATGTTCGTACATTTTGAAGATTTTGGAAAAAAAATACAAAAACTTGAAAAAAGTGATATAGCGAATGTCTTTTTAGTTACGAACACTCGGTTTCTTTGTTAATCAGTCAAAATATCTGGCAGTCCTACATGTATGCGACTTCGTCCTTTCACTGGCCAGGACATGAATAAAAATCCATAAATTAATGTAGAAATTTTATTTTACAAACAAGGTTAAATGCAAAATGAAGCATGTACTGCTATTATGGGAATACATATCAGTAGAATAAATCTATGTTACAAAAAAGAATTCTTAGAGTAGAGCTTTTAATTTTATTTAAATAAATACTTAGATGTTTTCTACAAGTCAATGATAATTTCCGAATAAGTGTGAGACAAACTGATCGATTACTTAAGAAATATTAAATGGATATATTCAAAAAGAATTGGGCGTACAGCACAGAACCTATGTATATGTGTGCTTTACCAAATGCTCAATGGATATCCGGCTTGCCTTTAAGTAAATACCCATAATTATAGTATTCGTCGAAGCTCCTTTTTTGTAGACTTATACAATTGAAATACAGCTAAGTGTTTGACTAATATATGTAAGCCTGATATATTTAAATGAGTAACAACACAATCAGTAGCATGACTAGCTGTCCAGTCATGCTGCAAACCATTATGAGGTTGGCTTTATTGCCAGGCGAGTCCTCATCGTCCGGTTTACTTCCACAAATTTCTTTTATGTTACACTTGTTGATGTAATCCTGGTATTTCGTTTTAACTTTATCATAATAACATAGCCAACCGTCACATGCTGGTATCGTCACTTCTTTTTCATTGACAAACAACTTCACAACAAAATTTTTACTCCCCTTCTCAACTGTGTTCGTTTCTAGCGAATTCACATTGTCACATGCGTAAATAACAAATGCAAGGTTTGAAGAATACGGTGCTATGTTGCTTGTCCGAAATTTTCGTCCCGACATAGTGTTAAAGTTGGTAGCAAGAAGTGGCGTGTTGTCCTTGTACAGACCAAGTGCCGTCATAAGGGGGACTATCGTTTCTGAGTGCCCAAACTGAAACTTCGCTGCTAGATAACTAAAATAATGAAATAAATCATTAGGTACTGTATTCCTAGAAAAGATTTGGCGCATTTTAAGTTAGCGGTTTTCGCGGTAGGCATGATTCCGCGAATCTTTATAGCCGCGAATATGTCACTTATAACAAATCCGCGAACATTTGTAGCTTCAACCAAATATAACATAAAAAGTGCAGAATATTTATTATAATCTACTTACACAAAACAACATATAAACCTAGGTGTTAGAGAAATGTGTAAAGAATTATTTATGTATGTTATTGATACTAGTTTTCACGCTGAAAAAGAAAATATCAATTATTAGTAATCAACATGCTTATTGATGTTATTTGCTACTCACGGTGTTGACAAATGCATTTACAGTTTGCAAACATTGAATGACTTGGATTTAATTTGCTTGGAGTAGGTGTATTCCTTTGTTAAAAGTACAATAGCAATCAAGTGCTACATTGATAAACAGCTGTTATGTTGTTATAATGAAAGCTTTGTACAGTCCGATAATGTGTAAAAAAATATGTATTGACATTTTGGAGATAAAGTCAGTTATGACTCTAATGAGAATAAAAGCTAACGGGTCTGACTAAATCTTACTTAATAACATAATGAAAAGGTAAGGAAATATGAAAGTGTTCACGGACAACCGTCCTTGTTCTTGTCCTTGTTCGACTAGATGAAAATGTATCGAGTAAGTTTGCGCTTTAGGCGCGACTTGTCAAAAAATAAAATGGTTAAAAGCACCCAACAGACAAGGTCATGCATCAAAAACGTAACCTCCAAAAGCTGTAATTTAGGCCGTAGCGACATAACATTCGCGTAATTCGCGGTTACTACATATCCGCGAAAGTTTGTCTCCGCGAAAATGCCGACGTTGTGAAAAACGCGAAATATTGTATCCGCGAACATTTCTAGGAATACAGTATTAGATTCAAATAAACTCTATGAGACCAAAACAAAAGCCTGTGACAAGTTATTAAGAAGAAAAGAATTATAATTTAAAGCTTGTCGTAAACGGAGGAATAAGTTAGCCAACTATCTTGCAAACAAAATGCAGATATGTTAAGAGATCATCTTGGGTACCATTTCATACTGATATTTATTACATAGTTTTGTTTCAATATGTTCAAACTTCATATTTAAATTGGAATCATGTGTGATAACATATCTATATCCAACTGTACGATACTACATTATATATCTCTGATAATTTCTGTATCTGAGAATGATGAGCTTACTCAGTGTTGTTCATATCTCCAAGATTTTCATAATCCCAGCTGCTATTCATTGCTTTGTCCATTGTATCGAACATATCTTTAACAAGAGGACACGCCATTTGTGAGTTTATTTGATGCCCGTAGGACGATTCGTAATATTTCTGAAATATAAGAAATACCCAATAAGACATATGAGCCGCGCCATGACAAAACCAACATAGTGCGTTTGCGACCATCCGTCTGATCAGGAATTTATGCTGTTTGCTTACAAACCCTATTACAAGTAAAGGGAGATACAGACAGCGAACAGCATGGGTCTTCGTATTTACGAAGATCTTTGACTCCAACATTGTATGAGCCTTTTGCATATATTGTGTGACTGGATTTATATTCAAAACTGCTTTGCTTCTTTTGATGATTTCTTTGATTTTAAATGATATCATTTTAGTCACCAAATCTCTACAGCGAAATGTTTATCAGCAGTAATTAAATTTGCTGATATTTAAACTTTTGTTGATGTATTTTTATTGTGCTTTGTTAAGATACTTCATTGTGCATTTTATTACTCAGCAGGTTTGTTGATCATGTGAAATTAGATTTGAAATTAAATTTGTCTTTTGAGAAATTATTTGAAAAAGTTCGTGTCACTTTCCTGTAGCCTTATACTTGTACAACTATAGATACACTCATGACCATTAATTTTGTCAAACTGCCTGATAGTTTTCTCCTTCTTCTTCATTAAGCTGTTCATAAAATAGTTGTGACATACCATCCCCCATTCAATCCCAATTCTATATTTAATCAAAATGACGCTATAAATATGTACATTAAAAAGTTTGTCAATTATTTTTATCCCAATTTCAGATTCTTTTTTTACAATTTCACTTTTATTTTGACATAATTAAGAATTTGAAGAAAAAAAACAAGATCTAATGTTATGATATGCTATGATATGCTATGATATGATATATGATATGCTACGATATGATATGATATGATATGATATGATATGATATGATATGATATGATATGATATGATATGCTAATGCTATGTTAAGATATGAATTCATGTTATTTTATAAAGTTACAACATGACGGGACTGGAAATATTTTTTTTGAGATTATTACTCCATTTGATGTAGATCTATACTAATAACTTATGTGCAAAATTTCAGATCATTAGCTCGCTCCGTTTTTCCAGAATAATTATTATAATAGTGAAAAATGACCCAAAATTGAAAAGCGTTTAAACGCTTTTCAATCAAATCGGACTGAGAATAGCACAAACATACGATTTTCAATGTATTTCTTGTATATTTCTTAGTTATATTTAATTTATATTTCTGTTTAAAGTGCTCATGTTTATCTATGTGAAAAATTAAAATGTTATGTTTTTAGGCTTATAAACCTCAGTGGAGTTCCTTTAAGATATGAATTCATGTTATGTTATAAAGTAACGATATGTTCTGATATAATATGATATGCTTTATGCTTTATACTACTATATATGCTTTACGCTGTATGTTATATGATCTGCTCTGCTCTGCCCTGCTCTGCTCTGCAATGCTTTGCTATGCTAAGCTATGCTATGCTATGCTAAGCTATGCTATGCTATGCTATAATATGATATGCTACGATATGAGCACTGTGCTATGCTATGTACGTACCTCTAAATCTTGTCCATACTCGAGCACTATCCTCTCATCATCTGTTAGCAGTTTACACCACGTCATGTCATTAAATAAATAGCTTTCATACGAACATAACTCGTAAATCTGATATACATCATCTGAAGTAACGAAAATTATGATTTGTTATAACGCTTTGTTCATGAAGTACATGTTTCTATTTACCAATAAGTTGACATTGTAGTATGCATATATAAAGAAACATTGCCAAGTTCATTGTGCATATAATGCGTAAATTGGAATCACTTTAATTTTTCTATAGAAGTATAAAGTATCAAGATAGATTTTAACGGATGTTGTTTCTACGAAAGCGGTGTATATGAATGATAACCTTTTCTAAATGAAAATGTACAACGCGTGATATAGCATTTATAAAGGGTTAAACATGTCAATTACCTCGTAAGTACAGGTAGTTTATAATCATAAACTATGACATTAAACCATTGTATTTTCATAATATACTTTTGGACCGTTTTCAAATAAAGAATGTTTATTATTCAAAATTAGAATGAATTTACACTGTTCTTCTACAACACGGCAATAATCCAGAAAAAATGGAAACAATGTTACCGAAATGTATTTAGGTATCGTTAAAGCCAAAGCAATTATACATACGTAAAAGTATATATTCCCAATTCTACTTACCTTCAGTAAATGAAAATGGAACCTTTAATTTACTTTTTAATGATTTTGCTATGTTTATGAACTGTGGCGTTTTTGAAAACTTATGAAATTGTTCAAACTGAGTAACATTGTCCTCTACTTGATGTTCATAGTTATAACATCCGTCATAAAACCTCATTGTTGCATTGTTGACTTCGTTATCAAAACTTGGTATTTTGTTTGTCAAATAGTCCGACAATCCGCCGTGAAAATGCCTCGCACTATCTTTCGCTCGAGATTTTCTTGAAGACACAAACTTAACATATTTTCCATTTTTGTCAAACAAATGATGGAACCTGGCCCCCGTTCTAGCTCCTAAGTCATTCTGTTCAGTTATCCCTTTGCTGACAAGCTCCCCTTCTCTTTCTATAACATATCTATATCTCCAATTATCAAGTTCTGGGAACGCTGTTGGATCTTTTGTCTTCATTATCTTTTCGTGCAGAGCCTTAATGTATTTCATATTTTTCAAGGTAGGGTTTCGAGCTCCGTGTCTAACAACCATATTCACGTGAATCGCTTTGCACAAAGTGGAGCCTACCCCCACGTGATTGTGTTCGTTTGCAAATATTGGAGTTTGAACATCGTGTGCCCATTCGTAAATAGTTTTTGTGGAGAAAACATCCCATCTACCTACACATTCACTAAGCTTGAACCAAAACAATATACTTATTAACTTTAGCAGCCACATTTCGTTTTGATAAAGTACAAAACAATAATGATAATCGTAATAAAATCCTTTATCTGTAATTAAATTATCAGTTATTTTTTGTAGAAACACTTCTGCTTATAACAATGTCAAACATTTTTTGGTTGTTGTTTTTAAATCAACGTGTTTATGCAAGCGAATCCATATGTAGCATTTTGTTGAAAGCTATTAAGCCTGGGGCGTGTTGCATAGTTACTTGTCATGTAGTTGTTAATGATGACATTAACGGAAATGTATCACTGCTGTATCAAACAATAGTATAAAATATACTACTATATACACATATAATGTTGGCAAACTAGATCAATAATATATCATTATAATCAATTTTATGCCCAGTCATGATTGAACTTTATAAAGAAGTAAAAATTTATTCATTTATGGTGCACATAATGCCTCATGTAGCAATTTTTTAAGTTATGCATTTTTCGTATAATTTTGTTTTCATTGCTTCCGACAGATCGCCCATTTTCAGATTATTTCAGCCGTGTCATGACAAAACCAACATAATGGGTTTGCGACCAGCATGGATCCAGACCAGCCTGCGCATCCGCGCAGGCTGGTCTGGATCCATGCTTGTTGCAAACCCATTATGTTGGTTTTGTGATGACACGGCTCAAATTTATTTTATTTATGGTTTTTGTTTTGCTTTGAAATGATCTACACATTGTCATATGTGAACATTGTACCGTTATACATATAAGTTCTTTCAACGGGATTCATAAACATGCTTAACAAAAAGTGAAATACAATGTAGTGTACATGCATTGCTAAAATACGGCATGTCAAGTGGATAATAAGTTATCATTACATTTAGGCAAGACTGAGTCAATCTTATTTGGGTCTTAACATAGACTTAGGTCAAATTCATCCCTTAATATTAGATGTAATGACAGAGTTATTAAACCAACTTCGTCGGTGAAATATCTCAGAGCAACCATTGATTAATCTTTATCTTTGATGCAATGGCTAGGTCAGTGTTGAAGCTTGAAATATTTATATCTCAAAAAGAGCTATCTTACTCAACATACTAAGAAACTAATAGATATGTCCCTAATCCAATGTCATGTTGATAACTGCTGTTCAATATGGTATCCCGGCCTGTCCCAATTCCTTAAAAATAAATTTCAAGTGACTCAGAATATCAGATTTGGTTTTACTTTATCTTGATGCCAGGTCACATATTGGTCCAATTCACTTTCGCTCACTCAACTGGTTACCAATCAATAAACGTGTAGATACGATTATCATTTGTCATGTTTTTAAAGTAAAAACTTGTCTTCAGATTACATGGAAGAGCATTTCATCTTACAGGACACTGTTCATTGTTACAGGACCAGGTTAAGTAGCAAGGGTGCTTTTGCAATCCCTAAGGATTGACCAAGAAGTGTTTGATGGAAAATTTGTAATTTTTCAATAATTTGTATGTTCTTTTTTAAAATCACTTCTAGATGTTTCGGTATACAAAAGGATTTAACGCATTTCGTTAATCATTTAACACATTTAATATAAAATGATGCATTTCTTGTAGTCTAAGTTATACTCATTTTTAAATACTCATTGTAGCATCTTGTTATCTCTCTCTCTCGCGATGGTACGAAGCTGAAATCGCGATGGTACGAAGGTGAAAACGCGATGTAACCTCGCGTTTTCACCATTGTGCTATCGCGCCATCGCGATTTCACCATCGTACCATCGCGTTTTCATCATCGTACCATCGTGTTTTCACCATCGTACCAACGCGTTTTCACCATCGTACCATCGCGTTTTCACCATCGTGTCATCGCGTTTTCACCATCGTGTCATCGCGTTTTCACCATCGTGTCATCGCGTTTTCACCATCGTACCATCGTGCATCGCGGATTCAGACTAAATAAAAATCACGATTGACCAAACGGAACACTGTAAAAAATAGAGAGGATACTGAATGAGTGTGAATTCAATACTGAATTTATTGAACGAGTTGAATACAATCATATTATGCGAGCCTCTGGCGAGCATAATGTTATTCTATTCAACGAGTTTAATAAATTCAGGAATGAACTTACACGAATTTAATATTCTATTTATCACATACCCAAAATAAAGGCCGTTTAGAGTGTAAAATAGTCATTTTTCATCGACACGCCTATAGTATAATGCCAACATTTAGCGCGTCTTTACACTATGTTTGTTAACTTCATTACTATATTTATTAAGTTAACTCGTTCAACAAATTCAGTTCTGAAACTACATTCATGCAATATCCTCGACATGTTATTTGTTATAATAAGGTACGTATACACAAGTGAACTTCTGTATTGAAATCACTTGCTAGCCTTGTATATTTTTTTCAAGTACGGCACTGGATGGCATTTATAGTAGCGTGACCTATAACCCTCCGCCTCTATGACGTAACGTTGTTAACGTTGCAACGTCAAAACAGTTGACGTCGTTACGACAAATGAAAACATAATAAGCTCGCTTAGAGAACAGCTAAACCTCTTAGTTCGCTTACAGAACAAATAAAATGCCGCCGACAATATTGAATATGTTCAGAAACTGTTTCCAACGGCCTGTAGAAAAGGTATCTTCGGACGCGATTTGGAAATTGAATAAGAAAGTTGCAGGGGAATTCAATTTTATTGTACCTCGGAAAGATTTTGCAAATTTTGCAGATATGAAGCCGAAAGATGGCGCGATTCTCACTGTAGGTCAGTACATGTTTCTTTACATGTACATAGTTCCGAGTATGGATTTCAAAGAACCAGGTCCCAACTTTGAGCGGGTTCTTTATTACTTCTGGGACAACTCTTCTTTGTTCCATATGAAAGGCTGGGTTCCTACAGCAGCAGACGAAAAATCTTTATTGTCGAATTTAAATAAGAAAATAAAGCATATGTCGCCTAGGGATATAAAACCAATTTATATTAAAGAAAATAGCCCGTGCAACGATGCCAGCAAAAATTCTACAAGATTTAATGTTCCAAATGTTGGCTCCGAGCTGGAAAGTGAATCAAGAATGGATCCACCAAAAATATTCGCAGGCCCACCGCATATGAAATCTACTTACAACTGGGGAGTGATAAATACATGGAGTAGACACATGGCCCCGGAAAGTGAAGACTATCATCCCGTTTTCATCTATGATCGTATTAGACAAGCAGCCTTTCCATCAGATTCAAACATGAGAGCATTAGAGATGTTAGACAGGGATATCGAAAATGTCATTGCAGGTAAACCTATCAATAATGAGCGCGTGTCAAAACGATCGGATAAGTTAAATGGTATGGTCGTTTCCACGATAGATACACGTGATAGAAGAGTAAGACCACGTGCAGCAAGGGTACAACGAACGCGCCATGCCTTTTAGTGGAGAATAGATGACATTATAGATCTTAACATTTACAACAATTGATATAATAATATTAATCAGAGAAATTGATAATACTTAAAGTAAAAATAATAGTTACAGCAGAAACAAGTGATGTGCATACTATCTATTAAACAGTGATAATTATAAAGTGAACTTGACATCGCCTATAAATAGAATCTAGTAAAAGATCTTCGCATCAGTACGAGAATTTCACAAAGGCAAAAAAATGTAAAAAAAATTATAATGACGATTTTTAGTAATAATATTTTATATAGGCGATTATAAGTAAGAAAACTTGACCATAGGAATAATCAATTAATGAACTTATCATAACTGATACAAATAAATCAAGAATTTCACCTTGGCGATTTCACGGAGACAACTTTACATCGCTGAGCATCAGTAAGACTTCAACGATCATTAGTAAAACAACTTCACTTCGGCGATTATCAGTAGTAACTTCACATCTCTGAGTTTCAGTAAGTTAATTCTACATTGTAGATAAATAGAAGGAGAACATCCCATCTGTGATTTTAAGTAAGACAACAGTTACTTCACATAGGTGAATATCATTAAATATCATAACGAGAACCTAACACAGGTGCAAATCAGTGAGACAACTTCTTATAGCTGAGTATCAGTAAAAAATGGTAAGATCAGTGAGATTATTCATATTGGTGAGAATCAGTAAGTGAACTTCACATGTTAGATTACCAGTAAGACAACATCACATCGGCTTTCACTAGTAATAGAAAATCACATCGCTGAGTTTCAGTTATCAGTTAAAAACTTAACATCGACGATTATCAGTATAAGAAATTCACACGTGAGCTAATCAATAACAACACTTCAAAGCGTATCAGTAAAAACATGGACTTTGGCAATAACATCAACGAGAAACTTTAATTGGCGGTAAAAAAGAAAAAAGTTCCGTGAGAGAACTTCACATCGTCGATAATGAGTAAGAATACTTCACATAGGTGATTATCCCTAAGAGTATTTCACATCGGCGATAATCAGTCAGAGAACTTTACATTGGTGATAATCCGTAAGTGATTTTCACACCGACTATAATCAGTAAATGAACTTAACATTGTTGATTATCCATAAGAGATCTTGACATCGGCGATACACATTAAGTGATTTTCACATCAGCGATACCTTATTTAGAGATCTTCACATCGGCGATAATTAATAAGACAACTTCACGTCGGCGATGATTTATAAGAGTACTTCATATCGGCGATAATCAGTATAAGATCACGTCACATTGGTTATTATTCATAAGAAACTTCACATCGGTGATTATCTGTAAGAGAACTTCACATCTTCGATAATCAACAAAAGCAGAGAACTTAACATCGGCGATAATCAACAAAAGCACTGCACTTCACATTGGTTATTATTCATAAGAGACTTCACATCGGCGATAATCAATGAGAAATCACATCGGCGATAATCAATATGAGAACTTCACGTCGGCGATAATTAGTACGACAACTTCACGTCGACGATAATCAAAAAGACAACTTCCCGTCGACTATCACTAGTAATAGAATTTCAGAGTTTCAGTATATTAAGCGATTTCGCATCGGTAATTATCCGAGCTACAACTTCACATTGGTTATAATCAGAAAGAGAACTGAACTCCGCATCGACGATTATCAGTTAAAAATAATTAACATCGGCGATTATAAGTATGAGAACTTCACACTTGTGCTGATCAGTAACATCACTTCACAGAGTATCAGTAAAAATAATTGAATTTGGCAACAACATCAACG